GTCAAAAAAAATCTACAGCAAAAGAAAGAAGGAGATTTACTGATTTCTATTAAAAGAAAAGTTACGGATCAATGTGTAATTTATGGATAATTTATATATGTATATACAATGTATAATTTAAAACTTTTTTATACGCAAATCAGCTTAGTTTGCATAACCCATTTTTAAAATTAAATGCAATTAAAACTTCCCATTTTTATTTTCTATAACCTAGCATTACCAACTGTGTAGATAACACAAAATTTCTATTTTACTACAATTTTATGAAATATAATTCTGAGCCTATATACTCATCAGCTTATTTTAAATGAATAATTTAAAGTGATTATAAATAGTATTATGTTTATGATGTTTAACACTAAATATTTTATTTTTTGAATGTTACGTCCTCGTGTTTCTTAAAACTTATAAAATTATATCACACATTTATATCTATAGCAAGGATATCTTTATCACTTTTCATGTTTAGGATTAGTTTAGTTGCGAAAAGATAAAATATTTTATATTATAAATTAAATTTCAATACATAGAATGAGATATTAATTGTCAGAATCAGGATCCGAACCTATAACCTCCAGAATATCACGTTACATTTGCTTAGCCAATTAAGTTATCGGTCCCTCACTTGAGTCGGACAATTAATTATTTTCATTCTACATATATTTTCAACTATTAATTTTAATTTAATTATGTACTAGCTCAGCATTAATTAAATCTTTAATGTTAATTTTATAATATATTTCTATTATTTATTCAAAGAAAGTTACTATTACAGGCTCTAATTTCTTTTAGTACCTAAATTTAGATAATAAAATCTGATATTTACGCGTTCCTTTTATAGTTGTAGTGTCTAGTATTTAGGACTTTTCTTATTTTATAACCAAACTTATTGATGACAACGTGAACCCCAAATAGCCATATTATTACAAAAGTAAGTATACCATTTATTTGAAGTGCAGTTGCCCCCCAAGGTTTTTAGCTCCAAGTTTATTGTATCTGACATTAAACGTCAAAATACTGATTCTAAAAACACAAACATAGGCGTTTTGAAAGTTATTCCGGGTTATATTTCCAGGTATACCTGAATAATTTTGAACTCGTTTTTTTTTTGAAAATATCAAAGGCAGCAAACGAGCAGCCAGCCTACTTGGAGGAAGGTAGTCACCGTCAACCATGAACATACCCTTCGTCTGCAACATAAGCAATATTACAGATGCGTTGAAATCCTTGATTTTGGGAGAGGGAGGGTAAGGGGAAGAAAAAGGGAAAAGGAAAGGGTCGAAAATAGGGAAAGGGCAACCGGCTCTCTCATTCATGGGACGAAATGCAGTCATTACTGGCTACTTCACGCCGATCTCCTGGAAGAGGGTGATACTTGACCACAGCTAGGCTCTGCCACTTAAAAAAAATATATTTTTAACAAATAAGTTTAAAACAAAAATATAGTATTTTAAGATTTAGGTTTTTGTAAACTGGGTTAGATGTCATATAATTAAGTCATTGAAAAAACTGGCAGTAGATGAAAGGGGTAGTTTTGGGAATTAACGAAATAAAGAAAGAAGTAATATTAATTTTAATTAGTCCTAAAAATTGAGGTTACTGTACATACATTTTTCCTCAGAATATCTACATAATCCTTTTAAAAACTTAAATGTTGAAGCGGTTAATACACATACATATATCGTGCCTGAATACTTGAAGAGATGTTTTATCTTGCGCTGTCTTTTTTCTTTTTCCGATTGAGGATCTCCGTAACAATTTAGGATCTCCAACCCTTGTAAATGTTTAGTGGTGTCTTTGTTTAAGGTACACGTTTCGCTTTTTTCCAAGAAAATACACAAAATGTAGGTAAAAACTAACTTTATTTTCAACTTAAGACAACACAGAAGTTTTATATTACGTCAAATGATGCTCGAGTAAAGTCTTCCGGGTATTAATGTAGGGGTCAGATTTATAAAATTCCTTAACTCAAATTAAGGAGACTTTACTTTAAATGAACATTACCTTACATGAATTTTAATTTCCTGTAAACTGTTACTTCTACACATTTCTTTTGCATCTCTAAATAATGTTTTTTTAAATTTAACAACTACATTAAAAAATAAAGTGTTGTTTATAATTTTTTTAGGTTCTTTTCATTTTAAAAACTATTCCTTAACGTCCACATTCAGCAAGATAATATAATTAAGAGAATACGAGTATTTTATAAACATTTAACACAATACTTAAACTACATATAATTCAAACTATTTATTGTTAATTTTGCTTTTGTTATATAAAAAGACGAATCTACTAAATTATAAGGTTAGTTTTATGTACCTTATGCATGCGTTTCTGTCATGGGTCAAACGAAATCAATTTTCGCAAGTTTTATCACCGAATTTACAATTAGTTTTATATGCCAACTGTTATAATAAAGCAATTCTCAAATCTGTTTGTCTTTCATATAAACCAATGCATGATTATTACATTCATTCAAAACATTCCAAAAATATCTTATATTTTTAATAATATATAAAATAATCTTCTCGTCCAGAATACCGCAGTGTCTCAAGACAAAAGTCTTCGACCAGTGTGTGTTGCCAGTGCTAACATACGGCACTGAGACGTGGCCGCTCACGATGGGCCTTATTAGAAAGCTCAAGGTCACTCAAAGGGCAATGGAGAGGGCTATGCTCGGAGTTTCACTGCGTGATCAAATCAGGAATGAGGAGATCCGCAGAAGAACGGGAGTCACCGACATAGCCCGAAGAATTGCAGTACTTAAGTGGCAGTGGGCAGGGCACATCGCTCGCAGAACCGATGCCCGATGGGGCCAACGGGTTCTCGAGTGGCAACCACGAGCCGGAAGACGCAGTGTGGGTAGGCCCCCAACAAGGTGGTCCGACGACCTGGTGAAGGTCGCGGGAATCCGCTGGATGCGGGTGGCACAAGACCGGTCGTCGTGGAGATCCTTGGGGGAGGCCTATGTCCTGCAGTGGACGTCTTTTGGCTGATATCATCCACGACATATAATTCTTTATTGCATTTTATATAAGTTTATTACATGTATAAACTGTTCGTGTTTATCATTTCTTTGTAAATACAATATCTTTAGTATTTTATTGAAGAGATGTAGAAAATGTAGAAAAATATGTTTTTTTTTATCTTATCAATCGTAGATTATCGATAATACAAACTTACATGTGGTGGCGATGACTACTGCAGTTTACTGGATTATTTATTTAAAATACTTTCTTAGGATGTTTGAACTATACTTCCATCACCACTACTCGTTTTATCGAAAACATTATTCAGTGTCTGATATGATACTAATGCAGATATTCGTAATATATTTATCGGACTTATCTGTATTAAATGAGGACTAAAAACCTTCGGTATTATATACATGTAAAAATATTATACTATCTTATCGGATGCACTGTAGCTAGGTGGAACAATGACTTGTGTTAGATTTCTGAGACAGATTGGTGGAGAAAATCTGAAGATCGAGCCCAGTGACATATTATATGTTGCACTTTTCTCCAACACTGAACTGAATAAGATTGATGGTAATTTCCAAAATATATCGAAGCATTACTTGCTTCATATTAACTTTTGTACAAAAAAATAGTTTAAATATTAAAAAAATGTGATGCATGTCGGATAACCTATATCTTATTACAGATCTTTTCCAGAGACCTTTTTTAGAACGAAAACAAGTGTAGAAATTACGGTGTAGGTGCGTATAAAGAACAGAAGGAAAAATGCTTATATCATCATCATCATCATTTAGCCTATTGCAGTCCACTGCTGGACATAGGCCTCTTCCAACACGCGCCATAAAACTCGGTCCTCTGCCTTCCGCATCCAGTGAGACCCAGCGACCTTTTTAAGGTCATCGGTCCACCTAGCTGGGGGGCGTCCTACACTACGTTTGCCGAGACGCGGTCTCCACTCAAGGACACGCTTGCTCCACTGTGCTTAATGCTTATATACTTAAATGTAATTTAAATGTAGATGTAATAAGGCTAACATATCAAAAAAGCCACTGATAAAAAGATCGAATATAAAACAGATTATAAATAGGATTAAATAAATTCATCACACAAATTCAAACACACCCGCATTACATGCTTAATAATCATAAGCCCACGCCATTTACAAATTATATTATGATGATAATATTGTGATCGAATATTAGAAATCAAAATATTATGAAATATCATTACATTACTAGGATTGGTTAAATTAATATCAAAGCTGAAAAAATATGTTACCTGCAAAAGTCATGGATTTTGTTTTAATCTAAAATATATATGCATATCTATAAAATGTGTGCCAACGGAAAATTTGCAGAAGTTTGTTAAGCCACTTTTAGTCAGAAGCAAAATTTTTAAAGAAACTTCAATACCGACGACATATAAATGTGTTTCTCCTCTTCGTTGTGGCTTTATAATAAATACTTAGGGCTAATTTATTTTAATAAAAATAAAAAAGAAAATCCTTCTAACCTAATCATCTTCTATTAGTCCTATTTCCTATCGAATTTATTAGGTGTTGATAACATAATATTACCTTAGTATAATATTTATCTTGTAAAACTTTATTGATTATGTTGTAATCTAATAGTATTTTTAAAAGAAAAAGAATTAAAAAAACGTTATATGTATTTACCAATATTTGTTATATGTATAAAAACGCTATATCCACAAAAAATCGTTCGTTGAGCACAGTTTTGTGCATAGTTCATGGCTCATGGTTCGTTGCTCTATTACAGAAACGATACATGAATATATTTTTTTTTTTTTTTTGTAAAACTCCAATTACCCGTGTATATTTACAAAGATAGTAACAATTATTCATTGCCAAAATGTTTATGTTCACGTAACGAATATCATAAATATAAAGTAAACTTCTAATTCTTTTATTGTAGGATAAGGTGATTATTGATAATGACAAATGTATAAATTCGGACAATTTTGGTATCAAATCTTAAGTTGTGTTACAATTTGCCAAAAATGCAACTGTTCATAGTTTTAGCCCTTCTCGGCGCCGCTTACGGTAAGTAATAAATTATAATTAAAAAGAAAAAGTAAAAATATTAATTGTAAGTAATGGAAATAATAACAATTTAATATTACTACGTCTCTATGTTAAATGCATATCTCTTATACAGCTGATATGGCAGGATAAATTTAAATGAAGAAGACATCTCAAATTAATTGACATCCCTATGTCAGCGAAATATATAACTTCCCTCGGCAAATACATTTAGCAAATCTTTGACTAGTGTAATTACGTTAATAATTTGAGCTATTCATAGCAGTAGGAAATTAAATGCGTAAAAGATACCGTCTAAAATTATTATCTTTCTTGATTAAATTTTATTACTTTTAACAAACATTATTTATAATTTTTGTATTATATCACAATCAACACTTATATTTTAGGTCAGCCAAATAGAATAGTGGGTGGGTCAATATCATCTATTGAAAACTCCCCCTACATGGCATCTTTGTTGCACGGCTATTTCGGTATATTCTTTTCACACCAATGTGGAGGTACTTTATTGTCTAACAACGCGGTACTTTCAGCGGCCCACTGCTTCTCGTAAGTTATGACGTTTTGTTAATAATTTGTAACGCTTAATAAGATTTAAATATCGATCTTAATTTGAACTACTTTACAGTGACAGATCTGTTTCCGCGTGGCGAGTACGTCTTGGATCGAGTTTAGCATCATTGGGTGGCTCTGAGTATGAAGTGTCTTCTTTGATTATACACCCTGATTACGCACCAAGACTGATATTGAACAACTTGGCTGTTGTGAGACTGGCCAAATCTACTGAATTCTCAGACAGAATAAATAGAGCATTCATTGCTGGACCAAACTACATTTTACCTGATAACACTCCACTCTCTGCTTCAGGATGGGGTGCAAATAAGGTTTGAACATTTCAAATATACAATATTACTATCCTACTGCCAAAGAATATTAGGTTTCTTAACATACCGATTCTACATTTAAAAAATTTGATGTTTTATAGGACAAAAGTTAAATGAGTTTCAATTGTTTGATGATTATTAAGGATATTGGACTAAATTTATTGAAGGTAACCTATTGTATTTTTTTATAGTTCCAAGGACAGTTATCCGAAGTTCTGAACCAAGTGGATGTCAACTTAATCAACCAACAATCTTGTGCGGAACGTTATGCAAAACTCAAAGAAATCCCTGGTAAGGAAAACTGGCCTGATGTCACACCTGAAATGATGTGTACAGGGGCTTTGAATGCCGACAACAAAGGATCTTGCAAGGGTGACGAAGGTGGACCTATAATTCATGGCGGAAACGTTGTTGTTGGTGTCATTTCCTGGGGTTTCGAATGTGGTCAAGACTCATATCCCAGTGTCAGTGTCCGTGTGTCTTCATATGCTAACTGGATCTTTAATGCTGCATCTTAATTTTATAATTATTAAATATATAGTAAACGATATATTGTTAATATATTTTTTGTAATAAACATTAGTTTTCTTCATATTATATTTTTTATTATCGACACGACATATGATATAACACCTTCCAAGTATATGCATTTTGAGATCAGAAAATTTAAAAATAGTTTTATTTTTATTTTTTTATTTAGACTGGATCGTCCTTGACTATCATATTCATGGGAACGTGGGAAATTAAGTTGTATATGGTGAATTCAATAGCTCAGAAGCTACCCATTCACCTTTTTCTTTTCGACGTGTTTTGGAGTAACACCTTACAATTGGCTGCTGAAAAGTATGATTGACATGACGTATGTACGTCAAGTATGATGATCCAAATTCAAGAAGAAGTATGAGAATATTAAAAAAGAGTTACATTTCGTTAACCTTAAATTAATAACTTGACTATTATATTTTTGACAGAGTATTGTCATAGAACGGCTATAGTGCAATACCGCTAATTACTATTTAGAGTTCTAAAAAATAAAAGCAAAAACGTCTTAGATAGGAAATATATCATCCTTCTGAACATTTCTAATTATTATAATCAGATTGAAAAATAGCGAACGACGATCCAGTTTAAATTGAAAAAATCTAAAAGTACTTCACGTCTTCTCTTATCAAGCGGGGTGTAGACTGTAGTTAATTCCTTTTACGACTTTACGATATCGTTGATTCGAAAATTTCTTTCACATTGCCCTGAAAGGGGTTGCTACAATTATAATTAGTGACATAGGGATCTAAATGAAAATTCGAGCCCATCTGAAATACAATCGACATCGGTTATAAAAAATACATTATATTTTCAAAAATTGGTATTTGAAACAAATCCAATAAGCTTACATTGATGAGGAAACCAGTGTGTTTTAGACCACACAACTATAGCAAAACTTCTTTCGTTACATCCATATGCGTAAAGCTAGCAACTTGCAAACGAACTACTTGCTACTTGCCCCTACAGTAATATATGAATCGTAAAACTCTCTATATATCTATCTTCACTAACAGTGGCGGCGTAAGGCTTGGGCGACGTGGGCCACCGCCTACGGCCTCGCGGCTCAAAAATTTTTAACGCGAGAATTAAAAAAAAAATCTTCTTCCTGGCAATTTTCCAGCTATAGCCAGGGTTTGTTTTGTCTTACATGTTGTGATTAGTTCTGGCTATTTGTTTTTACGACCGGTCGTCTGCCTGACATCAACCCTCTTTGGGAATCAGAATTAATTAAACCTATTTTGATAAGAATAGTGTTTTCAATGTTTTAATAATATTTAGCGAATAAATAGATAGTGTTTAAGTATATTCATTGCCCCCGAAAACAGTGACGTTTTTTAATCGTTTTTGTTTTCTTTGTGATTTGTAATACACCAGTACGTGTAAGTACTCGTCTATTTTACATTAAGTAACAAATATTTAATTGGCGATAAGTACGTAACGCAGTAATTATTAAAATACGCTTTATAATATCTTTTGAAGGAAACCAAAGCTTTAAGTGTTAAAAAAGCATCGATGTTTAAGTTTTTAAAACTAGCTGGTAGTAAGAGCTTCAGGTTTCCATAGAATAGGGCCTCGCGAAATCTGTCTTGCCCACATCAAATGTAGGTCTTGCCCCGCCACTGTTCACTAACTTATATCTCCCTCTCACTTTCGTTCATCTTACCCGATCACATTTTTCGTAACGCTTTCGTCAGTATTCACCAGCTTACTCCCAAATCAAGCATGCATAAAAAAGTTATACTCAAAATAAATACTGAATTTTGAAGTTTGAAAAAATATTGTATTTTTATTTATATTACCATTAACTGTTGTTGTTTGTTAATACTTTTTTTATTTAAAGTCAACCCATAAAAACGCTTTATGTTAATATAAAGAGAATATAATATTATTTCAGTATCACGATATATTATTACAACTTTAATTGCTTCCACCACTTTCTAAGACTAACAGTGGTTCTGTTTTAGTAACTGCTTATTTTAAAATTTACAAAAAAAATCTGTTCAAAATAATATCTCTAAACGTATGTGTATTAAATGTAATTCTTATAAAATCAATAATATAAAATTCCTATACTAAATAAAAACAAATGAAATTCCAAACGATGAATGTTACGAACTGTCACTGAACTCTTCTGTCACCTTTTGACATTTCTCTTATCGATGCCTATCTTTTTTTAACTTTAATGATTATTTGTAAATATTGCACAAATGATGTTTTTGACTTCATCGTAACTTATGTTAATGTATAATAAAAGGTTTGAATTGTGAAAGTGCCAACCTGTTAATATAAATGTTGTAAAATATTAAATTATGCCAGTTGAAGGTTTAAAATGTTATAATTGTATTAATATGTCTGGAATAGAGGATGGAGAACTGCTAAGGGACTTTGAATATGATTTTGCTGAAGATGCTTTGGATTTTGAGGTGAGTTTCATTCGTAAACACTTTGGGTTAAGCATAAGCCTCCCTAAATTAATCTGTAACATACTGTTTTTGAATTAAGAACAAATTTGGTTATCTTTTAAACCAATTAATATAGGTTATTAATTGTATTCTAATGAGAAGTAAAGTGGAATCTATAAATATTTATTTGTTATTTATTAACCATTTTATAGAAATTTCCATATAAATTACCAAATTTTATTACTCAACTAATATATTGGGTTTTGAAGCTTTAAGCCTGTTTTTTTTGTCTTTTTTCCCTTCATATACTGAATGCTGTTGGTATAGCATATGAAAAGTTAAATGTTGGAAAATGAGAAAATAAAATTAACATACAAAATTTAAAAAAAATTACTGTAACTTCTACATTCATAGTTTATATGTATACTAGAAGACCCAGCGAACTTCGTGCCTCCCTATAATCAAGAAATATCTGTTACGTTTTTTTATTTATATTTTTGGAGTTTACCTATTAAAGCCATAAATCTCCATGTTTTGAAGTGCAATAGAATGATTGACATATTAGTTAGTTGTCAAATCTAATGTCAAAAAAATGTTTGTATCAACAAATACTAAGAAATTAAAAATTAATTAAAAAAAACATTGTCCTGCGGACAAAATTGTGGGTCTGAACCATTCCCAGATCCCCTTGAACACACACAAAAAATTTCATCAAAATCGGTCCAGTTGTTTGAGAGAAGTTCAGGAGTTGATATACACACTCACAGAAGATTTATATATATAAAGATAGGATGCTCTAAAACATTTTTGTTTAATTAAATAGGCTCTTTGAAGTTTATCTAGTAATAAAATGTAATATTCTATGTTTTGTTAAATTATGATCAGCAATAATTACAAAAATTTTGAAGTACTATAAAATTGCCAAAACAAGAAATTTTCTAGAAGTTTCAAGTAATAAAACGATAAAAAATGAATTCACACAATGATATAACCCACTGGGCAAAAACCTGCAAACCCACAAGATTGATATTGAAGTCTGTCTATCTTTCTATGGCATTGTAGCTCTTAAATGGATTAACCAATTTTGATGTTTTTTATTTGAGAGATAGTTTCCAACTGATCTTTCTCAGCTGTGTTTGATTAATACTGGTCGAGCAATGTAAGAATATCAGCTATTTTTGAAAATAATGTTAGGTGTTTTTGGCCTTTGCTTAATTTGTTTAAACACCTCACATATGAAATTTAAATAATAAAATATGCATTTAAATAGCAATTTATATTTCGGGGTCTTGTAATATTTGATTAAATATTTAATTTCAATTTAAATCAATGATAAGTTATATGAAAGTGGATAGTAATTCGCTGATAACAGTTTCTTTATAATTTGAATTCTTAAATGTCAGTATACTTTTTTATATCTGTATGAAATAAAAAAGTTTACTGACAATTTTTATACCAAATTTTATATTTTATATGTATGTTTTAATTATTATAATAATATTTACTTAGATATATCAAATAAAACAAGCTACTTCTTGTTAACAAAGGAAAACTAAAATAATATTTTTAAATTTAATACACAATTTTAATTAATTTATACTACATACTCCCAATATTTTGGTTGCTTTGCATCAACTGTGAGCATGATCAGACGAGTATGAATTTTGATGATTTTTTGTTTATTATGGAATGAACAGATTTCTTTTTATAGCTATACTAAATACACCAGAGACAATCCATAAATAAAAAAAAAATTAGTTTTTAGAAATGAATTATTTATTATAATAAAGAATCTTGAAAGCTTGGTTGCAATAATCTTTTGATATTTTATTGCAAGTCTTAATAGAATGATTAAAAATTTATTTATTACATTATTATTGAAATGTCTGTTGATTGTGTATGAATTCATGTGCATTTTTATTTACTTATATTGTTTCATTTGACTCAATAAAGTTTAAATTCATAGATATAAATATTTTCTTAATGATAGGTATGTACATTTGTTGAATTTTAAACTCGGTCAATTAGTTCCTTTCTTACCATTCGCGTAGAAACATGTAATTTGAAATATAAGATGCTCTTATATCCTTAGCACTCTCTAACAAAGAAAGTACATCAGTAAGAGCATTTATGCCATTACGTAAATGAACCCTTTTATTGCCTACCTTTTACCTGATAAGCACCTGGTTTAATCACTGCCATTTGTGGCCCACGATCGACAAATGTCCACTTGACGATGGTGAAAATATATAGTGGTCCTAAAATAGGTGTTTCTCTTTACTTAGCACTATATTTTAGAAAGGTATAACGAAGACGTACATACATTTTCTTAGATTATTTCATATAATTTTGTCTATATTTGCATTTACAATTTGTTGAATTCAACATAATCAAAATTACTTTTCAATGATCATACTGTTTTATGAAATTTCATTTCAAACATGTGATACGGATGTCGATAGTTGACTATATCCGTTTGAAAATCGTGGACTCAAACTTCAAAGTAATGGAGGGAAAGACAGTCATATGTCATCAACATCAATTACGATAACTAATTATGTAAGGTGGCAACCAGAGGTTTTAGAAAAACTACGAAACTTACTTTTACGTATATTATGATAAGAATTACATATTTAAATTTAGAGCCTTTCCCTACGATTGCCCCGATGTTAGGCTAGCAATCCCATTCCTTTGCTTATGTATCAAGAATCTCCTGGTTCATAGGGCTTGGTGTTCTTTCCGCGGAGTCAGCAAACTCACTCATTATATTTTATCCATATAGAGATGTTCATTTATTTTATAACATGTTGCGCATACGTAACAATCTAGATGCTATTATACGCAAAAAATATTTTTTACTCAATGTATGACCGTAGAAAAAGGTGTTTTGATAAGCATATTTAGAGGTGTTAATAAAAAAACCTTAAATATAAGTGAATACGTTTCAAAAGTAAAAAAGTTAAAATTCCAATAATTCGACAATCACATAAACACAATATGTTGGATTATTGTTATGTTGAATAGGTATTAATGATTTTTTAATTCAATTAGTTATAATGTCTTAAGAGAATTTTGTTATTACCTGTTTGTCAGGGATTACCGAAGAACAGTTAATTTCAAGTAATATCTGCTTTTGTGTGTTTTCTTAATTAGTTGTATTTTAATAAATTTCTATAAATATTCGTTTTACATAAACTCTATAATTAAATTTTTTTATGAGAAAACCCGAGGTGACTAATTATTCTTTACTGAAGCACCTTAAATAGTTGAAAAAATATTTTCGTAATATTATTGATTTAAATAAAATATCTAATTAGTCTGTTATGACTGATGTATTATTTTCTTAAAAACATATAACTAATACATAAAGTTATTTTTCATTATAAAAGTACACCAATGATTATTAGGCCAGTGTAGAAGCCTTTAAAATTAATGAAAAACATAATTAAATTATAGTACATAGAATGAAACTCATTAGAAAAGGAGAGGAATATTATAAAAATTGAAGAAAAATAAGTTACGGGCGATCAGAGGTCGGGAATAGTATGGGAATGGGTATTTAAGGGTAAAAATGGGTTTTCTCGATTTCCGGTAAAACTAAAAGTCCTACGAAAAAAAGTTATATGGCAAAGTTGTAGGTAATAAAAAAATCTAAAAGTTTTGTATTAACATTTTTTTCACATAACCTCAAATTTTATGTGAATAAATCGGAAAACCAAATTTTTGGTTTTTTATTTTTATCTCTTACAAAAAACAAAATTTTGTAACGATATTTGGTGAAAACTTACCTTTTGATATCTCAAATACACTGTAATTTATTTGATAAGAAATATTTATTTTTTCAGCTTATTTTGAATAAATACCGAAAAATCAGCCTCATTTTCAATCGAAAAAGCAGCCGTCAAAATAACAGCTTTTTTGAAAAATTATTTATATTTATAAATTTTCTGATTTATTTTTAATAGTTGTGTACTCTGATAGTTCTCCAGATAGTCCCCCTTTTAGGTAATTTACAGAAAATTGACATTAAGCTGCTATAACTATCTATATATATAAAAGAAAGTCGTGTTAGTGACTTCACTTATAACCCAAGAACGGCTGAACCGATTTAGCTGAAAATTGGCAGGGAGGTAGTTTAGAACCAGGAAATTCCAATAGGATACCTTTTTATCCCGTTCGACAGCATTCCCGTGGGACTTGACATGAAACGTCAGTCATTATAAAACGTGGAATAACACAATTGACAGCTATGCAATTGACGTATAATGACAGATATGTAATGACGTATGGATGACAATTAGATATTTGTAAGAAATCTATATAAAAATAAAAATATTTAGGTATTGTGTTTGTAGTTTGAACTCTTAAAACCATTTAGTATTTGCGGGATAAATTTAGAAAATCATTGTTTTTCACATGGGCAGTTATATTTTGCGTGTTCACGAGTTTGGAAATCATCCGCTTTATTTGTGTTAAATTTAGACCAAAAAACAAAAAATGTGGTTTACAAAGGAGCACTTCAATGAAACGGATAATTTGCGGACACGTATAACGCTTCGATTCGGTATCTACTTTGGATTCACTTTCATTTACTTAGAGAAGTTCAACTAAATAACACTTCATTTTTGTAATCGAAACGAATTCATTACTGTTGTGAAATGAAATAAAAATTTTCCTTTTCAAATATAAAACAAAAAAATCTTTATCTTTTAATCACCAAACGAAATGTTATATAAAAGCCTTCTGGTGGCGAAACGGAGTTCGCCAGGTTTACTAGTTTAAAATAAATTGAAAGAGCATTTTCCAAACGATATCGAGTGTCATTTATTTTATCCAAAAATGGTACCGCAAGTAAGAAACTTATATTTTTTTCTTCACTTTCGGAAAAAAGAGATTTTAACGAACAGAAAACACTCCAAATTTTTGAAAAATTCTAAAATTCTAATCTTTTTATTACCTACAACTTTGCCATATAACTTTTTTCCGTAGGACTTTTAGTTTTGCCGGAAATCGAGAAAACCCATTTTTTACCCTTAAATACCCATCCCCATATCCTTCCCGACCTCAGATCGCCCGTAAATTATTTTTCCTTTTATTTTTATAATATTATCCTCTTTTTCTAATGAGTTTTATTCTACTATAATTTAATTATGATTTAAAAGCTATTGGCACTGGTCTACATAGTAAAAGTAGGTATGTATATGTATTAGTAATATAATATGCGTCATATACTTTTACTGTGATATTGATAAAAGCGCCATCTATATTTTCTCTCTTGAAATAGTTGACCTAAAGAAAGCTAAATTATAATAACAATTGTAAAAGAGGAAGCCTCGAAAGTAGTTTTTATAAAAAAAAAAAAACTTTACATGATCTGAAAATGTATTTGTAGACAATACTCACTACTTCGTAAAACAATATTCGTCAACTGTAGATTGGAATAAACATGGAATAGTTTTGACTAAATCAAAGTATCTATAGATGGCGTCAAACGGTATTGTCAAAGCCTTCACTAAATAACAGTAGATGGCGCTACAAATTTAAAAAATATTAATTCCCGACATAACTAAGCACATTTAACTTAAGTCAGGTAGAATTAGAAAAAAAACGTTACAGGTATAAGAAAAAATCTCGAACAACATAACACTTGAATACAACGAATAGAAATTTCAAAATATTAGAAGGCAAGAGGAAAAGAGCTGAGTTTATATCGAGTGCGGTTTGGCTTTAGACGTAACTGGGACGCTCACTGTAAAATTAGTACTCGAGCGGATATTATCGTGAGAATGCAATAAGTGGTTTTCATTTGATTTGTTTCTTGTGATTAGTGAATTAAATTACTGTTATGGTTTGTGAAAAATCATGTGGCTGCGGGGCGTTTTGTCGTCGTTTATTTTGCCGCGCCCGTCCTACGGAGTGTAGTGATAAGGAAGATGCTCAATTGACTTTGGTAAACAAATAACAAAGCCAAGCTAACACCTCCGCACTGTCAAACTAGCACTGCATTTGTAATAATTGATATAATATGTATTAAAAACTTTTTCGTTATAATTTTGATTATCACAGTATGTTAATGCAATCACTTTAAAGATTAATTGATTCACAAAAATCGTGAAGTATTATTATGTTACTAATATGCATACTTTAAAACTCGAATTATTTCGGAATGAATGACAGCTATGCTAGAATTTTATTTTGGAGTGAAGGCTAAAAATCACTGATGTCATGTTTAAATAAAGAGGGCAAATCAGAACGTAATATGAAGAAATGGCTTATCGTAATCGATATTATTGGTGACGGTTAATTTTAACACTTTTAAATGCTTTATTTTGTCCATAAAAACCTATTCTTAAGAACAATAATTAAAATTTTTGACCTTCAAAATTTATGTATTACTATAATCCCTTTAGCTGCCATAGATAAGATATTTAAAATATTATACTCTGTGAATTAAAATTATAATGAAATTTTCAATCGAAATTTACTTCAATAAAATAAAGAGCAATATTATTATACTTATTCCGATGTTTAAATATTCTAAGAAATATGACTAATGTGTAATATTGTTGATAAAAAGGTTAATGTTATCAATACCATGATAAAGTACAAACCTAGTTGCTAAGAGTTAGATGGTTTTGAACACGCAAACTTTTATTGTTACCGTATTGATCAACGAGCTCCCCACGTTACTTTTCATTTATTTCGTTCATACTAGCTTTTATACTAACATGATTTTATTTAAATCAAGAAACAATCGAGCCTAGGACTTGTTTTTTATTTTATTTTTCATCAATTTTATTTTTAAGGTTTAATAATTTATAAGAGAAAAATTTTCGTAAATTACGTTTGTGGTTACGTTACGAATTCTTGATATTGAATTGTTTTTATTTACCTTTATCCTAAGACAGTTTTTTTTTTGTTTACTTTTTACCATTATTTTACAAAACCAAGCTACGTAGGAAAAAATTATAGGTTTCATTCATAAATCTCCGCATATACATGTAGATAATGATAAGTATCTAAGATTTTCTAGAGTATATTAGTATATTAGACGAAATACGGTCTGTCCGTGATAATGGTTGCAAAGTTACCGAACCGTCGCGTCGGGAGTATGTGGTTTAAAATATTAAACATTACGTAGTAGATATATGCGATACTATTAGTTTTATTTAAATGAATGTAGTTTTTTAAATGACAAACTGCAAATTTGCAGTATGAAATTTAAAGCTACAGCTTATTGTAAAAATGTCATTCTCTATTCAAATTAAATAAAATAACCATTGAATTTTAAATAAATACACATCAGTACTAATTCATGGGCACATTTTAAACAATAGTAAGACCGATGAATATTTCTCATCTCATAATAAATGAGGTTAGTAAGAAATTGTTTTCATCCATTGGCTCACTGAGAAGATTGAAAAACTTTTTACCTTTACCAACTAAAGTTACGCTTGCACAATCTCTCCTTCTACCGATTCTTGACTATGCCGACACCTGTTATACAAACTTAAGTGAGGAGCAATTAAATAAGCTTGAGCGATTACAAAACCTATGTATTCGGTTCATATTTGGTTTACGCAAATATGATCATGTTTCTGAATTTCGCCAAAAACTCAAGTGGCTCCCTATTCGCCTTCGCAGGAATACTCACATTTTATCTCTTCTTTATTCTATTCTTTTTAATCCAGCGACACCCCTATATCTTAAAGAGCGTTTCACTCTCCTTAGGGAGTCTCATGAGCGTGCTCTTCGCTCGAGTGAAAATTTAATTCTCTCCATTCCTTCCCATTCTTCTTCTTACTACTCTAAGTCCTTCACTGTAGAAGCTTCTCGACTTTGGAATACTTTACCCTTAGCTGTAAGGCGGGCACAGTCTTTAGCCATTTTTAAAAAAATGGTTAAGGACCTTTACTTTTCTCAACAGTTCTAAGCAGTCAGTTGTTATTGTTAATATCTTGTCTACTTAATATCTCCTATTTTATTATATGTATATTATGTATATATTTATGTATGTATGTATATATGTATATAGTATATATGTATATTTGTGTTATATATATATTTATTGTTATTTGTATTTACCCTTCCACATTATTATCCTCTACCCAAAGGTTGCCTGGAAGAAATCGCTGTTTAGCGATAAGGCCGCCTGTTGCACTTCATACGTTAGTAATATATTTATAACGAAAATGTATTTTTTTAATTTTAGTATGTTGTACAATAAAGTATAAATAAATAAAATAAATAAATACGTAGGTAATTTTATATTAGACATCAACGTGCCATGCGTGTTTTTATAAAATCCTTCCACGCATTTTACGATCCGTCTCTCACGTTTACGATATTTTCATTGACAAAATTATTTCATGGAACATGTAATGTTTTCGAATCGAATAGAAGATATTTAGACTATTTATATTTAAGTTAGTAGTGAAAAATCATATTATGAATACGCAGACTTTTCAGTTTTTTTTTTTATAACTAAACCTACGTTAAATGAAGATTTATTTGTGACGATACAAATTTATGGTTAGCCGTAAGGTCCCTAATTAGTGTTTATTGTAATCAAGGTTTAACTTAACGATTTTAGGCCCCAAGAGTTCAACCGTGTTATGTAATAATAAATAATATAATGAAATTGTTATATATCCTTCTGGCATTGATTTCATCATTATTTAAGTAATAGTTATGTCTTGACTAGTTATAAGTTAAATATGACGACTAAGATGTCAGTGTTTATTAACCGCGTCGTCTTTATTTACATCAAAAAACATTTATATGTATGTCTGTACATATGTATATATAAAACAATGAATATCTGAGTTCTCAAGAACACTTACGTTAATCATGTTAATTGTTAAACATAATGCAAAATACTTAGTTTACAAGTTCACTAGATAATTATTACATATAGATAGACTACGTCTAAAAAGTATTTTCATATAGATGATAATTTGCGAATTATAAATAATATAACCTATTTATTTAACTTTCTTTGTAGTTTTTGGGAGGTCAAATACCCTCCTATTGAACTTCGCCTTAATTTAGTGTGTCATTTATGGACCAATCGAATTATGTGGTCTTAAATGACTTCATTAGTGTTAGGGCAGGATCACACTTAACCCTGGCACCAATTACAGAAAGCAAACTTCCTCGTGACATCACTCAAATGATTCATCCTTTACCGTCTGTAGGCACATACCTTACTAGAATAAATAAAGAGTTAATTTATCCTTACCATTGTTATGCCGTAAATGGTTGCATAAAATTATAAGTGGTTACTTCAGAATTTGTGTCTATTAGAATCATATATCTACAAGTTATAGATAACTACCTTTCCGCCCGCTGCTTCAGCCGCGTGGAGTTCGGTTATATCGCGTTTCCAAGAGTACCTTTCAAAAGTCTAGGATAAAAACTATCCTATGTTCTTTCTCAAGATTAACTCTTTCTCTGTACCAAATTTCATTAAAATCAGTTCAGTGGTTTAGGCGTGAAAGCGTAACAGACGAACAGACAGAGTTACTTTCGCATTTATAATATTAGTAGGGATTTTAAATATGATTATTTGTAATATAAATTCTTACATATGTTTATGTATGAAGATATGTTCACGATTTTACTTTAACTTGTATAAAATTTGTCCCTGTTCTTACATTACAAAACGCTTAATTGTAATAGCGTGACGTCAAAAAACCTTACCTTGAAAGAAAGCTGTTAGCGTATAATGTAAAATATCTTTATTTCAAGAAAAATAAATTAAAAAAATCTCTAGAAAAGTAAAAATTATAATACGTAATATTTAAAGAACTGGATCTTTTAGGTATCGCAACATATTAATCGGCGCAAAACACAAAGCGTTGTTTATTTCTTATTCAGTAACCAACGTTATTACTAGAATTTGCGAAGATTTATGATTGAAAAACTGTTCATATATGTAGGTGTAAGGATGAGTATTAAGTACACTGTTATAATATTATGTTTACTGTTTGCCACTATAAAATATAGGACCAATATTATTCCCAACAAATAAATTTTTAGCAATATAATATATGGGATCTTGATTACAGTCCTATAATATTAATAGACGGATAATGCTATAATTACTATTGATAATTTATTATTGATCATATAAGGTAAAATTAAGCAATGTTTAGATTTTTACCTACCACTTAAATACGACTTAAAAATATATATTTTAAAATAAATGTATATAAGAAAAGTAAAACCAATTATAAATAGCAGCATAATTGCATAATAATACAAACAATAGATTTTTTCTCGTGCTTCAGACTGCTAATTGCGTGACGGAACAAAACTGAAAACAATTACATACTTATTTTGAGTACATAATTAAATAATTTTACCACCTACTATGCAATGGTACGCTTTTTTTCAAATTATTCGACACTATTACAACATTTTCACGTTTTATTTAAAACTAGAAGACCTGGCGAACTTCATATCGCCCTATAATCAAGAAATATCTATTACGTTTTTTTTATTTATATTTTTGGAGTTTACCTGTTAGCCATATCTTCGTGTTTTGAAGTGTGACAGAATGATTGACATATTAGTTAGTTGTCAAATCTAATGTCAATAAAACGTTTGTATGGGAAATAGAAAAGGGCTGTTTTTATGGTTTTCCCAGTAATGAATCAATGTTTTTCAGCTTTTATACCTTCCCTGAACCTCCACGAACATTTCAAGACTAAGATAAGATAAATCCGTTCAGTCGTTCTCGAGTTTTAGCGAGACTAAGGAACAGCAATCCATTTTTATATATATAGAAGATAGAAGATAGAAGATGTTGATTTATTAATCATCCATCAATCTATGAATGTTGCCGACGAATCTCTATTAAGAATTATTGAATTAAATTAGAATAATCGAATCTACTAAGAATTAATAAGAATACACAAACAAAGGTCTTTTTTAAGACTATCAATGTATAATATGTATTAATTATGTACAAAAAAAGATACTGCTAAGACTATAGTAATATCAACGTTGATCAAAATGTGAAAAGAAATGTCTTTTGATCAATAAATTCCTACAGATGGTGACAAATATCACAAATGTGTATATTCTGTTTCCAGAATCAGTTATCAGAAGCCTGGGATGTGAAATTCACGCAGAATTTAACGGAGCCGCTCTCTATAGGATCTCATATTATTTGTACTGGAACTCCTAGCGACGATCTGCCATGGTAAGTTGAGATGATGTTAAAACATGAAATATATGACATTTTTTTTATAAAACACTACATATACACAACTTTTTTCCTTATTTAGAATGATACATAGGTAAAGATTAAGAGTTGTACTTGCGAGATTCGGAATGATATTTGTGTAAAAAAATTACTATGTTGTCTATAATTAATACCTATAAAATAACCGTTAGGATGACACTCATAATAGTGATGTATATAAATTAAAGATCGACAATTTTAATGTTCATAATGAATGGAAATTTTAATATAAAAATTATCGATATCGATTCTTTTATCATACATTAACATAAGAAACAACTATTTCAGGTTCGCAGTAAACATAGGTTGTGGAGATTCGGCTCGAAGCGATATTGCGATTCATTTCAATGTACGACTGCCACAGTGTTACGTGGTGCGAAATACAAAGAGGCATGACAAGTGGGGTACGGAAGAAACCACGGCATATAGGTAAAGGAAGACATTGCTTAATAGATCATAATCTAGTTCTGTACATTGATATAAAGTTAATTCATCTTGTGTTATACAAGTTAAACAAAAATTCCTCTACAATATAAAAGAGCAGTATTAAATTATATAAATAAAACATTTGTAGTACGGAGTTCGTTGCGAAAATCTACTGGATGGAGTATAATTAAAATGTTGAGTTTTTTTCCTACACATTGCGATATTGATGATTTAGTATATAAATAATTATAGTATTAAGAAAAGCAGTTTCATAATTAATTAATGAGTGTTTTCTTGCAAATAATTATTCTTCTATAAACATTAAATGACGCGATCGAAATCACAAACATCACTTAGTATAAAATACGATTAAGTAACATATTTCTATCATCCGGCGTCGGGACGTGACGACCCCATCGCCCACTGGTGTATTCCGGTGCAATCAGTCACGGGGGGGAGGGCTGGGGGTACAGCCCTGGGAGTAAGACGGTCACGGATCTGGCAGGAGGCCGTCCGTGGCTGTCTTGGGGGGGGAGGGGATACTCGGGTCTCTCCGGAGGCCTGAGTTCGCTTGTGGTCGGTCGGTTTCCTCTCTGTCTGCCGTCGGGCGCTTGCGCTCGTCGGTGGGTGGTTGGAGACTGGCCGCGTGGGCTTGGGTGGGAGGGGTAAGGGGTTAACCCTCTCGCGATTAAGCAAGCCCGCCAGGCGGGGGGACACTCCTGGTCACTTGGAGTGAGCCCTCGGGGGGGGGGGGGGGGGGGGGGAGGTGGCCGTTCGCGGCCCGCCGCCGGATCGTCGCGGATGCATGCTTCGGCGTTTCCCGTGGCGATCCACTTGGCGGCAACGGAGAGTGACCGCTGGTGTTTTAGTGGGTAACATGGGCCCTTCTGGCCGTGAATCCCACATAACCGCCTCTGTCTCCCCTAGACGGAGGGGTAGGTATAAAACCTTTCACCGCGATAGCAGAAAAAAAAAAAAAAAAACATATTTCTATCTGCTATTACATCCAAAAAAACATAATCTTATCTATACAATCCTGGCTTATACCGTGTTGATGTAATCGTTTTTTCGTCTTATCAATACTGAAATTTTTTATATTACAGATTGTTCCCCTTCAAAATAAACCGTCCGTTTACAATTGAGATTCTAATAGACGAAAAGGAGACTTTATTTGCCATTGATGGCGATCATTACTGCAGTTACGGCCACAGAAATCCGAGTCCATTGAACGCTACGTGGGTTCAAGTGACGGGAATACGAGATGCTGCCTTGAAAATACAAAAAAGTGACATATACCCAACTCTATCGCCGCCTCCCATAGCAGTGAGTGTCTTCTAATCTAATGAGATCAAGATTTTCGCGTATTCCTTTAAATAAAACCAATATTTTCGGATTACTACGCGTTTTTTATCATTTTTAATGCTACAAACTCCCGACGTTTCGGAAATTCCAGCAACCACTTTCACGGGCAGACGAGATGTGAATGTATTCTCTTCTAATGTCTTCGTTTAAATATTTTTTCTTAAGTGCTATTTAATTAATTTTTATCTAGAAAATCGAAAAATCAATTAGAATACAAGCCCTTATAACATACATATAGAGTGCATTTTACATAACAACAATTATGTTACTTTTTAGAGAATTGCTGTTTGACGGTTGTAATTTTCAATGGAATAAGTCTTTGATCTGCAATTTTGTGTGGTATATATTTGAATATATTTGTGTTTCATCTATGTTTCGAAAAAAATATTGATACGAATGTCCAAAACAATATATAAAAATAGTAGTTTTAATTCTAAAGGACTTAAATATTTTGTGTTCCAAAAAAGTCTATGCTTCCAAAATTTTAAATCTAATAAAGAAATATGTTATTCACAGGTACCAATAAAATCTGACTCAAACGACACGATAGAAGACGAACCCAAATGGCATCCAAATGTCATAGCGACTATTGCTGACGGAATCCCAGAGGGACATCAAATCGTTATACACGGACGGTATTATAGCAATAAAACAATTTTTTTGTCCAAAAATAATAAAAAATTAAGATATTTCATGTAACACGTTTATTGATGATCAAAATTGTTTTAATTTATATCTAAATCTGAATGTCATATTAATCAAAAATGATTTCATTTTTGTATCCTCAAGTTTTCCGTAAATAGTTCTTTACACCAAACTTTATACTAAGTATAAGTTGCTAGAATGTATATCTCAGATTTAATCAAAGTAAAGATTAAAATTGAACCATCTAGAATAATCTGCTAACAATAAACGTAATATTTCCAGACTACGTCCCATGCTGCATTCGTTCACTATAGACTTATTGGATGTAGCTCGTGAATGGCCGCGTGGGAACATACTCCTACATGTGAATATCCGAGCTCATGTACAATCACAGATGTCTAGGCAACTAGTTGTGTTGAACGCGTGGCTTGGTGCGTGGGGACAGGAGAGGCGACAGAGAACAGCTAAATTAATACCTGGGACTGAGGTTAGTGACTCATTCACTCACTCACTCATACACTCACTCGTTTAGTTACTTAAAGTCAAACTACAATTTGAAAGATATATAAAAAGGATTTTGTTATTTTATTTATTTATTAAACAAAGTAGTGATTTATGTACTTATCATTATTCGACAAACATCTGGACACCGAGCTTTGCGGTGTTTAGGAATTATTTGTATTTATTTTGCGTTTTTTTTATTTCGTTTAGGCATTTTAAGTAATTTCTTAATCTAAGCTTAGAACAAACACTCATTGACTTCTTGTTACTTAACAACGCCATCTGCGGTTGTGTCGTTAAAGCAATAAAAAGTAGTAATTTATTCGCCAATAGATGTCAGGAAGAGTCATATTTTAAATTGGGACTACTCAAACGCCGCCTTATTGTTTTTTTTTAAACCCCTATATACTAAATTTCATGAAAATCATTGGAGCCGATTCCGAAATTCCAAATGTTTAGTTTTGTTGATTTAGATATTGCATTATTACCTTGTTACTAAATATATAATCTTTACTATAATATAATCAGAGTGACCTGCTAATATATCTTGTATTACAAAATAGAATTTCGTCAGGCAAGTTCTAGTCAAAACCTACTTTAACAAAATGTGTAATAGATGTCATTCATTGCTTACCCTTGGGATACATTGGTATTATAAAAAATATATGACACAGTTCTAAAAAAAAATATTACTGTTGCAGTTAAATATATTTAATCTCACCTCAACATTAATTTCTTTATATCTGACAAATATACCAAACATAGTAAACAAGGAACTCATTGCATTTTATTTTTTATTTATACATATAAAAAAATAATTGTACTAATGAGATCTATTAGCGACTCTTATTCATTTAAATGAAACTAATATTTATCGTGATACATCTCCTCTGCCCGTGATCACAGTTGCTGTAAGGTAGCCGAAACGTCAGGAGTATGTAATTTTTTATCAAAAATAAAATCGCATAGTACATCCGAAATAAAATAGTTTCATTTAAATTTAATTGCACTAATTTCAATCCTACTAATATTATAATTTGAAAGTTTGTGACTGTGTGTGTATGTTTGTTACTTCTTCACGCTCAAACGGCTGCATCGATTTTGATAAAAAATTTTATACATAAAGCTGATGTCCAGAAATAACACATAGGCTACTTTACATCCCGGAAATCCGCGGGTAACACCGCGGGGTTCAGCTAGTATATAATAATTATTATTTCACAGACAACATTTCGAATCGTCCGCGGCGGTATAGTATGGTCTGTGTACGCTGACGACATACTCATTGGTGAACTCGATTTCCGCGGATCCCCCAATGGTGTGAAAGCTATAAGAATACGAGGCGACCTCTACCCAGACAGTGTCTATCTCTCTCCAGCAACATCATCTCCAATAGAAGAAAAAGATAAACCTACCATTGAATAATATTCTTTATATGCACTCATACTTATTCGGTAAGCCTTAAAAGCTTGAACATACTTATAATTCTCACTTAAGTATTAACACCTTTTGTATTATGACTGCCTGACAATTTATAACTTATGAAGTACAATTTATATCATACTGTTAATAACATTCTTTTTATGACAATTGTGTGATTTCTATGAGAATGTTTGCATAATATTAAACATTATTTTAAATATCTTTGTGATGTTTGAACCTGAAATATAAAGAACTATTGAAGCTTAGATTTACAATTACAAATCACAGTGATGGCATATGTATATGATGGTGTAATTAAGTTGAAAATGTTATATGTATATTAGTATAAGTTACAATATTTGTTTTTTATATTATATTGATATTTTAACTTTTCGAATATTTAAGAAACAAAGTAATATATCATCTTTTTTGTTATACAAATAAATAATGTATCCTAATTTGATAAAGATCTTGATTATTTTCTTATTATTTTAAATAAAATCAATAATTGGTAATGTTTATTATAACAAAAAATAATGTCATAACTGTTGAAAAATGATAGCTATATATGTATATAATTTTTAAATATTATAGTTTGAAGGAATTTTTGTCTTTCAATTAAATAAATATATGTGATATTGCTATCTCTATATATTATCTATGCTTTGATATAAAATTTTGTCAAAGCTTAATGAATTTCATTATTCAGCCACTTAAAAAACTATGAAGTGTACTTATATTTATAAAAGATATTTAATAGTTAATACCACCAAATTGTACTCATGAAAAATACTTATGAATCTGATAATATACTGTATTCTTTATTTTTATATTTAAGAGTCTGATAATTAATCAATTAATTTTTAGCTTTTAAGCAAAATATATATTGCTAGCCCATATATTGACTTTTAATATGAACATGGAGTTAATGCTTATAATGTTATGTAAATGTTTTTTAGTTTACAAGTGACCTGATTTTTGCTGCCTTAACTTGTTGAATATATGTATTTTTACAAAAAGAAAATAAAACTTGTTTTATTGTTAACAAAGAGGTAAGGAGATACGCGAATATAAGGAAAAAGTGTTTTAAATTAGACTTTTCAATTAAATGACTTCAAGATAATTACTATTATTGAAACTCAGTCTTACAACGTACACTGCTTTATATGCGGAAACTGGTAAATGTAAAGTAACACGTGATTAATAGTTATAATAATTCATATTTCTATTTTTATTTTTTTGTATATTAGGTAAATTGATTTTAAGCATCTCACCAATCTTACCTAAAACAAACCCTGTTTGATTGTAAACCACTTGTTTTTACAATTAAATGGCTTATTATGGTACCTAATAAAAATACAATACCCAACTTAGTTTCCCTACACATTTTTCTGACTTATTTCGTTTACATTACCGTCGTATTTTTCTTTTTTTTTTAACTTATTTTATACCATTTCTAAGATAAACTATGAATTATTAAACAGCCCAAAGTGAGCAGACTATAACACAAAGTGGAGATTTGAAAATATAATAATACCATGTTAGGAAAGTTATTGTAATTATTATAGTGGGAAAGCATCACATTTATACATTTTTGATAGTAAAGAATTACAAAACATGACATAACACTTATTACAAAATCTTATAATATTATAAGAGTGATTTTTGAGATGATAGTAAAACATTTGGTACATTTGATTATGTAAAATATAATAATAATGTATACCTATTACGATCCCAAGATCAGATTGTTCTTTTTTACGGATACATTATAAATTTCTATATAGTGAAACTTAAGTCAATTTAGTTGAGTTTTAAAATAAAAATTATATTCATAATTTAAATAGTAATTTTTTAAAGCAATTATTTCTGATCATTATTTTTTTACGGGATATCTTTAAAATTTTTCATAACGTAAATTTTATGTCAAAATGAAAGTCAAAATCAAAATGACACATGTCAAGCGAATGCTAATATAAAATAAAAAATATAATTAAGATTAATAACATTATCTTAATTGTTATTATTATGATTAAATACAAAGAATATTCTTCTTTGAAATAAGTTTCAGTAAATAAGACATTACCGCTTGTAGGTTTGATAATCACGTTATTCACTAATGAAAGACGGTTTCTAGCGGTCGAGCTATATGTTTGACCTTGTCAAGGTGACCGATATCGCGGCAAAATAATTTAGTCTTGGTTCGGTAGCTGACCGAGATTGTATTGTAAGAGGATAATATAAATTTAAAAAGTGAAAATGAGCGTGCAAACAGATTCAGAAAAACGGAAGCAAATTTCCGTTCGTGGTATTGTTGCAGTTGAAAATGTAGCTGAGGTGAAAAAGGCATTTAATCGGCACGTTCATTATACATTGGTGAAGGACAGAAATGTTGCTACCCCAAGAGACTATTATTTTGCCCTGGCGCACACCGTCCGGGATCATCTTGTTTCTCGCTGGATTAGAACGCAGCAATATTACTATGAGAAAGATCCTAAGGTATTAATAACATCTTTGAATATATGAAAGTACCTACATATTGGATGTTAAAATAAAATAATACTGCAATGTTATAATTATATAAATTTGTCAAAATTTGTCACTTTGGGATATTTAATGAACACTTAATTAATTTTTGTAAAAAATAAAGACAGAAAGTAGACTTTTCTAGATTAAGAAGAATTGCTTCTTATTAAAAATGCTTTAAAGAAATTTTCACATAAATCATTTTTAATAAAATCATTTTGGACCTAAGAACTTTGGTAATTTTTTTATTAATAGGAGTCTCAAAATAATTTAACCTTAATTATTACTTTACAAAGCCAAATTAAAAATGATATGTAATCGGAAAAAAATCAAAAGATTTAAAAAAATGTCTCTAACAGATATTTTAATGTGAAAACAGAAATTGTGGTAAAATTTGTAAAATTGCTTAAACTCAAGTTGTTATTTATTAACTCTTCATCAAACCAAAGTTAAATCTTTTAGAGACATCCATGTAACCTTTTATTGTATTAAGATATATTGCAGTAATTTCAAGTTGTTTTCTGTAAAACAAATCCGCCGTTAATAAATTACATAATATATATTAATATTAATTTCCAGCGTGTTTACTATCTATCCCTGGAGTATTATATGGGCAGATCTCTCCAGAATACCATGATCAATCTAGGTATCCAAGGTACTGTAGATGAAGCTCTATACCAACTTGGTTTGGACATTGAAGAACTTGAGGAGCTTGAAGAAGACGCAGGTCTCGGTAATGGAGGTCTCGGACGACTTGCTGCCTGCTTCCTTGATTCAATGGCCACATTGGGTCTTGCAGCTTATGGTTATGGTAAGTAATGATGTTGTCAGTATAGTTTTTTCATATAAAACATTAAAGAGTTGATATTTCAGAGGTAAAAGGTACTATGTGATGTATGAACTTATTCTAAATATTTTATACGTAGTACCAGATGTTTGTTCTTATTTTTCTTTGTCATGGTAAATATGACGTAAAACACCTTTTCTCTCAATAACCTTGTTTACACTATAATATGTTAAGATTTATTAATAAAAATTCTTAATTATCTGTATGTACTGTGATGCCAATTTAGAGTATGCATACTGTTATATTTATTTTTTATTGCAATCAAACTCGATGCTTGTTAAATAAGAGTAAAAGATCAAATACAATAAAATTTTGAATTATTTTAGGTTTCAAATATTTCAGTATATTTCTCAGAAACAATAGATTTAATATTTAAAATTTAGAATGGGTTGTTTAATTGATAATACCATAAGAATTGAGATTAATATTTGGTTGAATTCAAAATTTAAATTATTGTGTTTGTATGAAGTATGATGTTTGAATGCAATGAACAAAACTCTTTGGTGCATCAATAAAATTACTGCGCGCCAACTAATAAAAATAATTGAAACCAGTGACAAAACCACCGTTGGTTGGTTGCCAATTATCATTATACTAAGGATATAAGTACACTTGTAAATTTGGTTGGGAATCTTAATTTAATGTTTGGTATAGTGTGTTTACGGCATTTATTTTTAAAAGTGTGAAACAGTAATTTCGCTTAAAGTAACTTGCGAGATAAAAGTTGTTTTGAAATTGTAATAAAAAATGTTTTTGTTTAAAAAACTTTAATTTATTTTAGCATTAACTTCATATGACTACAGTAGTAAACTTAAAGGTCTATTTTTATACATTTGTTTATATTTCACTATTTTTTAAGAAATGTATACATATTATAAATGATCCCAGTTACTACAATCAGATACTTGGAGCTAAACTATTTGATATGTCGTCCATTGTTCTTTAATTCGCTCGAGTTCAATGATCGCAATTGATAAGACATAATAGGTTTTTTGTGGCTACAGAACTAAGATTAAATATTTATTCGTTCAGATATATGTAGTTTGGATTAAAAATAATTAATAATTGGACAAGAAAAAACACTAAAATATAATTATATTGGGTATGAATACTGTATATTTTTTTGGTAGGTATTAGGTATGAATACGGTATATTCGCTCAGAAGATAGAGAACGGGGAACAGCAAGAGGAGCCTGATGATTGGCTCCGTTATGGAAACCCATGGGAGAAAGCTCGACCAGAGTTCATGTTACCGGTCAACTTCTATGGCCGTGTGGTCGATACACCTCAAGGGAAGAAATGGATAAATACACAGGTGATTAGAGTTTTTGCACCACACTTATGGACCTTTTCTTGGTCAGATTGCTCGGTTTCATATTTCTGTTTTTATTTGCCATATAGAACCAGTTAATTTCCAATTATATTAAAGTAACTTCAGTCACTTGTGTTGATTGGAATATCTGACCAAATATGTCCTGTTATAAGTATCCATCAGGGGCCGCTCAAGTATTACGTAAGCACTATGGAGGGGCAGGGGGGTCTTTGCTTTGCTTATTTTGGATGACAAGGGGGGTAGGGGAGTCTAGGTAATGATTACGTCACCGGTAGGTATTTACTATTTTTTCATCACATCGAGAAGATCCATAAAAAATTATAATTATAATTTTTTTATGGATTTATATTTAAAAAAAAAACAATACAGTAATTGAAAATGTTTACATAAGCATAGGGGGAGGGGGTAAGAGCTTTGCTTACTTTTGCTGACACGTACGTTTTGCTTTTACGTAAAACTTGAACGGCCCCTTAGAATATTTCTTGTTTTTCAGTAACATACTTCTTGTATTTAATTTATTCTTGTTAAATATGAAAATTGAGTAGAAAATTTATTTTTCATCAGGTGGTGTTCGCTATGCCATATGATAACCCAATCCCCGGATACAATAACAATGTTGTAAACACGCTGCGTCTGTGGTCTGCGAAAAGTCCTATCGATTTCAATCTAAGATTTTGTAAGTAATATTTCATAATTTCCTATATTAAAATGAAACTTTTATTTATTTAAAATTTCCCTAATTTCAGTCAATTCGGGAGATTACATCCAAGCGGTGCTAGACCGTAATGTTGCTGAGAACATTTCAAGGGTACTATACCCTAACGATAACTTCTTTGAGGGTAAAGAGTTGAGACTTCGCCAGGAATACTTCATGTGCGCGGCCACGCTTCAAGATATACTCAGGAGATACAAAGCATCTAAATTCGGATCTCGTGAGGCTGTGAGAACGACCTTTGAAAGTCTGCCCGATAAAGTTGCGATACAGTTGAACGACACCCATCCCGCTCTGGCTATTCCAGAACTTCTACGAATCTTGATCGATGTTGAAAAGGTTCCGTATGAAGAAGCCTGGGATCTTGTGGTGAAATGCTGCGCTTACACCAACCACACAGTACTGCCTGAAGCTTTGGAGAGGTGGCCGTGTTCTATGCTGGAGAATGTTCTTCCGAGGCACATGCAATTGATATATCACATCAATTTCATGCATCTCAAAGAGGTTGAAAAACGTTGGCCGGGTGATATGGACCGTCTACGACGTATGTCCCTCATTGAGGAAGAAGGAGAAAAACGTGTCAACATGGCCAACCTTTGCGTAGTCGGTTCACACGCTGTGAACGGCGTGGCCGCTATACACTCTGATATCCTCAAGGCAACCATCTTCCGTGATTTCTACGAGATGTGGCCCGAGAAATTCCAGAACAAGACCAATGGAATAACTCCTCGTCGTTGGCTCCTGCTATGCAACCCTGGTCTGTCTGATCTCATTTGCGACAAAATCGGTGAGGAATGGACCGTACATTTAGATAAACTCCAAGCTCTGAAACGCTGGGCCAAAGATCCGGCTTTCCAGCGAGCTGTAATGAAAGTTAAACAAGAAAACAAATTGAAGCTGGCCTCTCTCATCGAAAGAGATACCGGTGTGAAGATTAACGCTGCGTCCATGTTCGACGTTCAAGTTAAGCGTATCCACGAATACAAACGTCAGCTCTTGAACATTTTGCACGTGATCACCCTGTATAACCGTATAAAGCGTGATCCTACAGCACCTATAACCCCAAGGACTGTGATGATCGGTGGCAAAGCTGCGCCTGGTTACTACATCGCAAAACAAATCATCGCTCTGGCTTGCGCTGTTGGCAATACTGTAAGTTGATTTATAACTATGAGTTATTTAAGTATAACTATTGATAACAACATTGTAAATATAAACAAATTACTTCCTGCTATTAAATTAAATACTGAGCTTTAACCTTTCTTGAAATAAAACTTCTGTTTTTCGGATTTACTACGCCTTTATAATTATTTCTAACTACATACTCCTGACGTTACGGATACTTTGCAGCAACCTTTATCATGTACAGACGAGATGACATAATCGCTGCAAAGTAATCGAAACGTTGGGAGTATGAAGTTAAAAATATTTATATACATATAGTAAATCCGAAAAATTTTACGTTCATTCAAATGAATGATATCATAAGTCTTAGATCATTACATTAACCTTTCTTTCTAACTCATCCAATTCCAGGTAAACAACGATCCAGATGTAGGTGATAAATTGAAGCTAATCTTCTTGGAGAACTATCGTGTGACGTTAGCTGAGAGGATCATGCCGGCCGCAGACCTCAGCGAACAAATCTCAACCGCGGGGACAGAAGCCTCCGGTACTGGAAATATGAAGTTCATGTTGAACGGAGCATTGACCATCGGCACTATGGACGGAGCTAACGTGGAAATGGCAGAAGAAGCCGGGGAAAACAACATGTTCATATTCGGAATGAGAGTCGATGATGTTGAGGCTCTACAGAGACGAGGGTTTGTTATCATTGTTATATATGACTCAAATAACGAGATTATTACTTTAGAAACCAATTTTAGGGTTATACTTATAAAAAATGTATGTGCCCAATTACTGAAATCGATTTACATAACTTTACAGACATGTATCTTGAATTTTGGTTTATATTAGAGATTCTTTCTAAGTAAACATGTGTCTCCAAAACTATCTAAAGTAATACTTGTAAATAATATATTGTAATCAAAAGTTGTAGTATAAGGGTTCCTTGAATATGAGAAATAATTATATTTTCGTTTGTGTACTGGTTTACACTAATATTTTCATTATACATTATGCATTTATTTTTATTTTCATTTTGTATCTAATTTTCTGTGACCCTAGTACCTATTTGCTGGCATAATATCTTTGATCTGTTTTCTAAATTTATACATAAATTTGAAACCTTTAATTTTATTTATTTTCCGTAGTTACAACGCCTATGAATACTACGAGCGCAACCCTGAGTTGCGTCAATGCGTTGAGCAGATCCGCAGTGGATTCTTTTCACCAGACGAGCCAGGGAAGTTCGCTCATGTGGCCGGTGTGCTTCTGAACCACGACCGTTTCTTACATTTCGCTGATTATGACGCTTATATTGCCGCGCAAGACAAAGTTGCTCGTGTGTACCAGGTAAATATTACGGGAATAGTCTTTACGACGTCTTAAAACTCATCTCTTGCTAGATCTGGACTAAGCCCAAAGTAATAGTCAGATTCCTTAAGAAAAAAATCAATATATTGCTCAATCTTTATAGAGAACATGCATATTGCATATATCAATAAAATTGTAGCAGGCCTATATACTTTCAGTTGATAGAAAATTCTTAGCTTACATAAAACATCACTATCTTCCAACTACAAATCAAAGGAATTACCAGATATACCATGGTTTTAATACCATAATAATTAATATATAATATTCATAATTTTGAATATGATTAAGGATATATCACTAATATATAAATGTATTTCAGGATCAAGCCAAATGGGCTGAGATGGTGATAGAAAACATCGCTTCGTCTGGAAAATTCTCATCTGATAGAACTATTGCTGAGTACGCTCGGCAGATCTGGGGAGTGGAGCCCTCGTGGGAGAAGTTGCCCGCACCACATGAGACTTAGACGAGTGTAGACCAGACCAGACTAAGACTAACAAGACCAGTCTAGTCCAGATAAAACCAGGAGGGAGATGAAAATCTTGGAATATATTTAAACATATATATTGTCATTAGAACAATAGTTATAATAATCCATATATGATATGTATGTCTTGGTTTATCATTGATTTTGTTTGAAAAAACTCACATTCTTCAAACTAAAAAATAATCAAATATTTTATTTAACAATCACAATTATATATTAATATTTTGTGTCTAATTTATATTTTTTATAAAGCACAATTAACACAAGAATGTTGCTTGCAATATGTGAAGTTGTGATAATTTCTTGCCTAACTGTAAATAAGAATACTACAATTATTTATAATAATTTAATATTGGTGCTCAATTTATTTATCCAAGTACAAAACAAGATTATTTTTGAAGACATTGCTATATATACAAATATATTTATTAAAGTATTCTAACGCGTCATATCTAAGTAGTCCTTTTTCTATTACTAACTATTACTACATTGTAGTCTTTTAAATCTTTCTTAAAATATTTCTATTTATTAACAAAAATTGTTCTAATAATATGCTTTTTAGAAGATAGTTATGTCAAAGTCGGTAGCTAATACTCTTTAAAATGGTAGAAGTAATATTTTTTGTATTAGATGAAGAATAAGCAAACTAATGTGAATGTAAAGATAGTGCTTGATTATAAATAAAACTATAAAAAATGTTATATATGATGTGTAAAAACGTGCCATATTATTGTTCCTCATATAATTTTATAAAGATATATATTTTGAATAACAATTTTAATAAAAAATCGAAGCTTGCAACAACACGCACACGACAAACGCCGTCCGAGATTTGACCTCCGAAGACAACTAACTCAATAACAAGCAATAATTAACTCTAGAATGGATTTTTGACCTAAATAATATATTTATTATAAACCAAGATGTATTTTGATGACTATATATTTTTTATACAGTAGCCACTGCCGTAATAAATTATATTGAAATGTTCTATTTATTATTGTATAGTTTATTAACATTTTAATAATGTTCTTTTTGTTTATCCTATACATTATATAACCCAATATGATTATTTCAATAAAATGTTATTATCTCTAAATAATCTTTTTATTGTGACCGAAACTATATTCACTGAAATTTTGATTTTGATCGCTGCATCTAAGTCGTAATTCGTAAGCCTTATAATAACTAAAATAACGACCAACGAATCACCTGTGTTATAAAAATGTTAATATAGTATATTAAAAATCAATTATCATAGAGGAAGTAGTTAGAAGCTTGGCAATGAATATCAATGGATTTCCTTGTCGCCATCTTGAAATTACGCACAGTAGGGACCGTGCTTGTTAAATCTATTTACAACTTACAAGCGACCGCAGGACGCTCTCAATCCTGCGTGCGCAATTTATATCTAGTCCTTATAATTCGGCTACATTCGTTTATTTTCGGTTAGGATCGTCCCCCATTCGATTGAAATTAGAGTGAGACAAAGCGATATAGACCTTTCGCTCGGTGGGTGTCATCGGCCGTTCATATCTTCGCTACTATAAAGTATAGTACTTGGTCACTCTGCGTCTGTAGCTCGGGCGGTTCGTGTCACCGCTCGTCTCGCGTGTGTTGTGGTGAATAGTGTTGTGGGAGCTCCCTGAGCTTCTCGTGATCTTCAGGTAATCCATCTCACTTAAGTACAATACATTTTCGTATACCCTTTATGTTATTTATGTCGAGATTTTGGGATGCCGGTGTTCCCGCCGCTGCGATCAATAACGATGTTGTCCTGAGTGTAGGCGACGTTCAAACTTGGCTCGTTTTACTATTAAATCGTCCAAATTGTTGCTAAACCGTGTTGCAAAAAAGAAAAACAAAATGGACCTATGTGTCGTAAAATATAAATATGGTAGTGTGATAAATTCACTGATTTTATATTTATGTATTGGCAATTCATTCAAGGTTTGATTAAGTTAATCAAATTGCGATAAAGAAGATAAACTACTTCAGTAATTCATATGGAGAAATTATAATTTTAGCAAAATAAACAAACATGTAATTTGATTGAAGATTGGTTTCTAGAATAAAGGTTTTTCATTAAAATAAGTAGGCAAGGCTTCTTAAGGTATCTTTTTATATTTACTTTTAAAGCTCCAAGTCTTACGTGACATTTAAAACGACTGACTACGCAAGATTAGCCGGCTAATCCTAGAGTGATGAAGATGATCTTTCTTAGTTTGAATACTTGCAAGGAGCCTTTGACTTTACTAACGCACGCACGATTTCAATGAATGACTAATCATGATTCATAATAAATGTAAAACGTAAATTATTATACATTTTTATTTATAAATTTTATTTACATATGAGTTAATTAATCGACCACGCCTCGGGACAATGTTATACTCGTTTTTATTGAAAGAGCAGCCGGACTAAAAATAGACAGGCCTAATTCCATAAATACTGTGATATTAACCGGAAGCTTATTCTGGAATTTTGCCACAGTAATGTAAACTTAACTGAAGATAGTATGTACGAACTAAAAGCAAATATTGCTATAAAATTCAACTACAGTTCAAATGAAACGTCTAAGCACGTGAAGCATACATTAAATTTTAACGGTTGCTACAATATCAAAATTTCGTGTCTAATGTGGAACCACTCTGAGTAATTAAAACGAACTCGCTATACACCTACAATTTATCACGAGAATTTGTTTTTTAATTTTATAAGAGATTAGTAAAACCTGCTATGACATCTGGTGAAATAACTAGTTTTTTTGAATAGACGTTTGAGCAAGCACATGGCTGTCTTCATTCAACAAGCCTGTTCCCCGTCCGAAAGGACAGGTGCAAAACGACCGATGAGAGGTTCAGGCATGATTGTTTTATTCAAAAACACGTCAGGTAGAAATCCTTACACAATTGCTTGGGCCATACCATATTTCTTTTCAGTTTTTTTCACTCAGTATGGACACACCCTTATAATTTTTCATATATAACCTTGTAATTGAGTTTCTTTGCGTTATTAAGCTGATTTTCGACATATTCTTTAAAAATTTCCTATCTTTTAATTTCTGGACGTAATGCTGAGTAACACGAGCCGTTTTATCCGGATGTAAAATTATCTATTCAAACTTAACCGTCTGTAATGGTTTATGCCTATCGCTACTTACTGTCGTCTTGAGTTACAATTTCGCTTAGATTTCATTGGAAGTAAACAAATATAATTTGAACCCATATAAATTCTTGGAGAGATCATAATTAACGACTTGTAACTGTTATTTTAAAATTGTTATTAAAAAAATCAATTTAAAAATGTATGAAAAAGAAAAGGTACAACTAAATTGTACTTTTATCTGTATAATTAAAACGGTGCATTGTGGTAATGAACCCATGAGCTTTTGAAACGATAAATCTTTGCCTGTCTAGCATCGCGAAGATCAATAAGTAGGTATGTCTTGAACTCCTAAAGAGCACCGTACATAATGGTACATAGAAATATCGACTCGTTGGTTCCGTCTGGGAGACCGTACATTCAAATCCTGGGTAACATTAATGATACATTAAACTTTATTCAACGGCAATAAGGTTCAAAGTTCAAGGTAGTGGTTCACTACCCCCACACAGGAGAGTTGACAAATTCAATCTCGCTACTCTCATACATCGTCACATCCGACGTGTTTTATTAGTGTCAAGTTTTAATAACTGAACAAATATGAAAACAAATTTTAATGACTGCAGGATTGTATTTCAAAAAGGAGGCCAAATTGGACTCTTTTATTTTGTACTAAAATAACCCTTAACTCTTAAAATAGTCTAATATTAATCATTTGTTGTTTCTGGACGTGTCTAGACACATTAATGGCATTAAATGTATTGAATATAATCCTAACATTGTAATTTTTTTCAGTCATCGTATGTACTTTTCCTTAATAAAAAACAATACTGAACTATTTTTCATTAGGTATTTCTATTGATACAGTAATAAATGAGTCCTATTCTTATACAGGCTGTGTAATCCAATGTCGCTGCAATAATGTTCAGTTATTGATATAAAATTTTAATTGCAAAACAGTCTTAGTAATCAGTGTTTTGATTACATTAACATGAGTTGTATGAATACAAGTTTTGTTCGCAACTACGTCTGCGTAACTTTTATTCACGTACTTTCATGAAAAATGCAAATATTACTCTGTGATCCTTCTGGAACTATATGAAATATTATGAAAAATTGTAGTCATATGTCTTGTATTAATATCCAAGCTAACTTACTCTTTATCGTCTTCGCATCTGTAAAATAGTTTCGATAAATCCTCACAGAGTTCTGCATGTACAAATTAGTAGGTTTATAATCAAAGTGATCATTATGTGTAGAAAACGTAACCAGATCTAGCGATAAAAAGACCGGATTGCAATTAGGTATTTTTATAACACTTAAATATACGAGTAGGTATTCCAAAGACGAAGTGTAGTTGAAATTGCATAAAATATACATAAGTTTAAATTATTTAAATGTCAGTATAAATTAAAGAATAATCTAAAATCAAAATATACATATATTATTAGGAATCCCATGTCTCAATAAACAAATCATTAATAGAATGATGCGTACAAAAAGCTTTTGACCAACAGAATCGTTCTTGTGAAATACAAACATAAACTTATCGACGCCATTTCTGTATAATGGATCTCAAAATAACTTTCTTTTACTCACGCATTCACGTTACTATAAAATTGGGGTGTTTAACCGCGACGGTAGATGGTCTAACTACGTTCAAGTACAATTAGTTTAGAGCCGGTGTTATGTTTAATGAATGATGTCATTCAGATTCGACATGTTGCTGTCTGTAGCTAACTAAAAGTTTGCGTTTTCAAATTAACAGACACTAAACTTTATCCTTTATAAGTCGATGAACGTCACAGTATTAACAAAGGTATTATTAATGAACAAATTATAACTAATGAGATCTAAGACTTTCGCGAGTATTC